ATATATATATATAAAACTGATTTGGTTTAATTTATTCTATATTAAACCTTTTGGTACAAATTCCTTTCAAAAAGCTGCAAAATGTTCTGTTCTGCAATAACTAAAAGTGACACCTATCTGCAAAATGTCCAGAGACCTTCAAGCACTTCTAAACTCTCATAGACAGACTACCGGTTCGTAACACAAAGTAGTATAGAAAAGTCTGCTCATACATTCCATCTGAACTAGAACTAAAATGGAGTCAAAAGCAGCCAAAGTCCAAAGAAATATCAAATAAGAGCCAAAAAAACGCAATCAAGATTCATTCAACAGATTACATCAACATCTGGCTCCTTTGGACAAAAGCATAAAGAAACAAGAGGTGATTCAAGGCTTTTGCACAGACCTGACCATGCACCTCTAACTAAAACACAGCATTTTCTATGTGACAGAAATTGAGAATTAAAGCTAAAAAAAGGATTTTTATCCTATGAACTTTACAATTTTGCGTGACAGATCAATTACAAACTTCAACAGTAGTAACCAAGTGAATTTGTCTGAGAATGATAGAAAATTATGCATGATTTGGATTTCCAAATTTCATCTCAGAAACACAGCATATCTTGCTGAAACACAGTTTTGTTATAAAATAATATTCCTAAGCTTTGAACACCTTACAGGTTTTTGTCCAAGCTGCCTAAAAACAAGGAGATAATTAACTAAAGAAGCAGCCAGAAAGGCGAAATAGTAAGTAAAGAAAAGAAGAAGAGATTGATATCTGAGGTTGAGGAATCTGTATGAATCAGGTATTTATGGAAGAGTAGCAAGAAGAAAGCTCTTGGTCCTAAGAAGTCCTGTTTAAGGTTTGGTGTTCTGGTCAAATATAACAAAAGTTAAACTCATCGGTGATCGCATTGTCATAGTTTGGAGATGCTTCTCTTTCGCAGGGATAGCAGGCAGGCTTATAGAAGGAGAAGGAGAGTGGGGCTAAATAAAGGCAATGGGGTTCACCTTGTATAAAAAAGATATCCTAAATATAACCTGAGTTATAGTGAAATGATTAAGAGACTCATGCTGAAATATTTTGCAAATAAAAACGGAAAAATTATTGAACAGAAGGTCTGCAGTCCAAGTCAAAGCATAATGGGGTATTACATAAGGTGTGCTGCATACATGTAGATTTCCATTTTACAATCAAATCCTTTGTGTTGTTCTACAACATATAGCTGCAATAAAGTACAGCAAAGAGTTTGATGTAGTTTCACAAAAATGTCGAAATATCTGACAGGTAGAAATATGTTTAATAGAGCCTTGGACAACTACATGTATGGTAAAAGAAAATAAAAATCCTGGCCTATAAATCGAGGGCCTAAACGTCAAATATTTTAGATGAAGGGCCCTAACTTGCACGTACAATTTTATTTTTGCAGTACTTGCGGGTGAACCCAAGTGGTTTGGTTTCACTTATCAAATTGAGCAATTGCATCTCCTCCTGACTGTGCAAAGGTAGACTATCTAAAAGAGCTGCAAACAAAAGTAAAAGAAATTAATTTAACTAACAATTATTAAGATTAAATAGCGCAGGGGTTAGCGTGCACGACCGATGTACGGCCTTAAGTCTTTGACGTGGCCGACCTGGGATCGAATTTGACCTGTGGTCCTTTGCCACATGTGTCTACCCCTCTCTCGTGCCCCCTTTCCTGTCAGCCCACTGTACAAAAAAAAGGAGCTTGTAACTGTAATTGTGACAGGTTAAGTGCACGATTTAACCCCTAGTTTCTTTTTTGTTTTGGTTGACTGTATAAACCAAATCCAAAAAAAGGCCCTTGTTTTAAGACACGCAAACCTTCTGAAGATCAGGTGCTAAATGTAAGCTGGTTGTATCAATTCTTGCTTGATGCTGCTTGTCAGGTTGGATGGAGGTTTGAAGGACCCAAATGCAGAGATGAAGGCTGAGGTGGTTACTTGCAATTTAATATCCAAAAAGGTGTCAAATCAAGCAAAAATCCACAAAAAACAACACACAGAAAAACCAAAAGCCATCAGGGAAAACTCACATGAAGTGCAAAGAAATGACAGCGAGGAACCAGCAAACAGTGACTGAACAGAAGGTGTTCAGCAGATTGGGAGCAGGTGTGGACAAAGGAAAGCTAGGGAAAAGGAGGCAACAGAGGGCAACCTAGATATACATAACTCAAATACATCCAGAAAACAACACAAAATGGGAATTAGACCAATAAAACTAGAAAACACCAAAAATATGAATAAAAAAGAAAACTAAAACGGAACCAACAAGTGCAGAATCATGACACAGAATCATGACAGCTGCTAATAAAAAGCAAAGCAGAGGTTTGTTAGTTATGCTTTATTAGCAAACATAGCAGGTTTCACAGCGATTGCTCTGAGTTACAGTAAAACTCTTGTCACAGTTTATCACAGCTGACTGAAATAAAGAACATTAGACATGTTTATCATGCAGATTTAAATCAAGGGGGAAAAAAGCTGAATGTAAATTTGATAGTTATATTTGTAAACAGTACATGACAAAACTTTATAGTCTGGCTTTATTGTTAAAGCTGTGCAAAGCTTTGTTGCAGTACACATATTTTCATAAGGCTATAATACTGCCTCTCTATACTGTAGGCTCACAAGATGCAAGCAACACACCACCTGAAGTCAATAAATAAATCAGTCAATAATGACAGAGAAATAGAGGTCACTTAAAAAGAGTTTTAAATAAAAGCTCCGCTTTGCTCTGAGCACACATGAAGATGTGCATGAAAGAGGAGAAAAGAAAAACTGAATGAAGATCACATGCTACAGGGATGCCGACTGAATTCCACCAGCTCTCTGCTCTCCAGTCACTTCTGGTTTTGGAGTCCTTTTCTATGAAGCCAGCTCCATAGGGCCCTCCTCCTCACCATCGGCTCGGTTAGCGCGGATCTCTGCCAGCGTCCGGGCAAAGTGTGTCCAGTCTTCAGGGTGGACCACGGAGAGCTGTAAAGATACAAGTGTATGAGTTAGTTTAATGCTGGGAGAGTTACACTGTACAGATAACGTGATGATGACATAACTTAATATCCAAGATCTGGATGACCTGAACGTTGCAAAAGACGTCCCCAAAGATTTCTCCTATTTTAGAGTCTCATTATGAGAAAAAGGTTGTTGTGTGCAGACAGAGTAGATCGTAAAGCATGACTGTCTGTTGGATAACTCAAATTACCAGTCTTCTCCATAGTTGAAATTAAACCAATCTAGAATGCTCTCAAAGGTTATTTTTTACTTTTTGAGCTTTAATTAGGAGTCACAATTAGATGTTTCAGGTTATCAACACCTGGTTTTAACTATCTTAACCAACCTGGCCCTATCTGTACAGGATGGATTTGTTAAGCCATTCAGAGGTGGGGCTGCTGGTGTGCTTTAGATAATTGACCTGTTGCGTAACCCCAGCGCTCTTTAGCTTAAGACACGATGGCTAGATATTTTTTCGCTGAGAGCAGAATTCCTGGTTCCATCTTGAGGAGGTTTTCCAGACCACCGCCATTTTGAACCATTAATATGATGCCCTTTAGTAACATGTTGTTGTTAGGGCTGGAAAACAATTCAATATCAATATATATTTGGGATATAAAATTATTTAATAGTAGTGACATGACATCAAAAACATTTTTAGTATTTCAATATACAGTGCAGTTTATAGTTATAGTGTTGGGTACTGACTGATGTTCCTAGACCAGGCGATTTGAGCACATTGGGTACATGAGTAATGTTGTACGCCACAGACAGGGAGCGGCGGTCTGCAGCTGTACTGGGTTGCTCAACTGCCAAGCGGAAAGGTTTAGCTACAAAACGAGAAACAGACAAGATTTCTCCCAGTTTACCATCTCATGAACGAAAAATGCTTGCTGGTTCGCAAAGCTTCAAGTTTCAGTCAGGGGAGAATAGCCGAGTGCAGCCTTGGAATAAGAGGAGAGCTCAGCTCAGGCTTGATGTGTGAATTGATTGATTTAGTCTTGACTGAGCTGATTTTTGCTGGGTTATGGCCCTGTCACACCTTGCCGATTTAGACAGTGTATGCCTGACGTCCCAGAATGTTCTAAAACACTGACATAGACTGAACTTTCTATATATTTTTTCAAATTTAGGCGTATACATAGCGTATTCATAATGAGTCCAGAACTTATGTCCAATGACAGCCTAACTTATGCATAACACAGGGCAGCGTAATGTCTATGAAAAGTCAAAAGCTTGTGTCCTGAGGGGGGGCAGCAATGCACCCAGAGGCGCCCAGTCTGCATTAAAAGATTCCTTTGATTGATTCATATTAACCTAGCTGCTGTTGACCGCCTGCCAAAAAAAACCCAGAAGAAATAAAAAGCAAAAAGAAAACGAAAGAAAGAAGATTTGCAGTCGCAGCAGATTCAGGGTCATGTCTGCTAGGAAGTTTGTTGGTCGTGGTCATCAGCGTGAACGCAGGGAGCATCCATCCCACTCACCTTCTTGCTCCCCCTAGGGATACAGTCTGGAGGAGAACTGACAGTTTCTTCCTGTGAACCCCCTTTTATACCAAAACGCTGTCAATACGCCATTATACAGGAGCTGTAAGTTAGAAACACGTTCATCGGTCGCCTGGAACACGTCAAATATGTTGATATGCATTGGAGATAAGTTCTTGAAGTTACGCATCAGTTATGCACAATTTACTCATAGGTTTTGGATAAGCTAGACACCACGACTTTTTAGTAACTTAAACTTAACGTATGTCGACAATCAAATAACTAACCTTTAACTTATGGCCCACATATGGCATATGGTGGCATATGTCGGGAAATTTTGAGCCTGCTCAATGTACTTGCCGTATGAAGACGTGTGCCAGCTTGTTTCAGCGTGCTTCAGTGTGCTCATAACTTATCCAACATATGCCAGCGTTTTTACAAGATTTTCCGTACATCAGGCGTAGGCTGGTCTAAATCGTCAAGGTGTGACAGGGGAATAAACGAATAAAGAAACATTGCTGGTGTTAACATTTGCAGTGCCATTGAAAAAANTTGCTGGTGTTAACATTTGCAGTGCCATTGAAAAAAACAAAAAAAAACCCAAGGCTTTCTTTAAAAAAACAGAACAAGGTAAGAGACGGGGAGAAATCTTAAGAAATACTAATTTTAAAGCACTGCCATAGCTTTAATTTGTGCTCATCAAAAGTTAGAATTTTGTGAATAACTTGGGGACCTTCATTCTTTATTTTCAGGGCTAGTTATTACTTTTTAGCTTTTTTGCTCATTTATTATGGTCATTTGTAAATATAGTCTTTCAGGCTTATGTGTGTTTGTCTTCTTGAACATTTGGAAGTCAATCATGAAAAAATGAAGGAGGCAATTTTAAAGAAACTGAAAAGTAACTGCAAGTAGCTGTGGACTGAACAATTTGAGCAGATTGTTTTAATTTCAAAAATGTTATATTGGAGGAGATTCATGGACTTTGGATGATAATTCCTGTCTGTTGTGAGCTTACTTGGCATTTTCTATGAGGCTTTAATGTACCTTATATCAATATTTGAATGATATATAAACCAAAATTAAGAAATATATATTGTGAATAATTTTGGCAATATCATTCACCCGTAGTTGCAGTAACATGAATTCGTTTTGTTTTTTTCTAATCAGTCTACAAATGATTTTTAACAGGTGTTTAGGTGGAAAATCAAGATGAATTGTGCCAAAGCTGAGATAGATGTCTTCATTTTGGTCAGCAGGATTTCTTCATAAGATGTGTTGCTTTTTAGGTGTTTAGGTCTACTTCATGCGGTCCGTTTCAGCTGAATTCTTTACCAATGAAATAGTAATTAAGCCTGATTTCTATTTGTAATGGAACAAAAAATATACCATATTTTGACCAAGTTGGTTTGGAATCTGATGTCATTTATGTGAGATGTCATTTATGCATTACTTACTGCATTACTCATATGAGAAAAAACAGCCTGGTTTCTTTGTAACAAGCAAAGCTAATTTATATGATGCAAGCAACATTTCTAGTGTAGCTCTTGGTATTAATGTTAGCATATGTCTCTCTGTTAACATGTGGCAATAACAACCATAATAAAAAAAAAACTAAAAAAAAATCCTGCTTATGCCAGTTTTCTCACTGATGCTGTCCAGTGTGAATAGCTGCAGAGCTTAACCAGCCGACCACCTGGTAGAAGGTCTGGAAAACGTCCACATGGACACAGCAGGTGACACGCTGCAGCGCTCAGTGCAACTACACGTGTTTGTTTCTCCCTGCCTTGCAACACATCCAAAATCTTTGCACTGATCCTGCAGATGAGCACTGATATTATTACAAAACATCATTAATAAAAGTTCAAAGGCTTCTCCTGTTTGCTCGATGTGCTGCTCCCATGCTGTCTATCTGTCGCTGTACACTGTTTCCAACGGTGAGAAAATGGATGATCTGACTGTGAAAACAACACCTTTAAAAAAAGTCTAATCAAATTTCATCTCAGTTTGGTTTTGATTGTGAGCCGTTCAGCAAAATCGTGGGGGGAAAAAAGCTAACAAATAGCCTAAGAAATAAATAAAAGGCTAAAATGTAAACACAGAGAGACTCTAAGGGATATTACACAGTTGCAGACATCTGAATGAAGGTAAATACAAAATTTTAAGCATATTATTGTTAATTGAAACCTAGTTTTATGCTTTTGCCTCTACAGGAGGTTATAAAGGCGAGAATATCATTAGCTCATTTAAAAATTTTTACAAAAAGAGTATTATCTAACTACAATGGAAAACAGTAAAGATGTATCCAAAGAAGACAAAAATAATCAGACTTTTTAAAAAAAAAACAAACACTATAAAAAAACAACAAGAAAATAAGAAAAAAAAAGTTATATTAAACATTTAAAGAAAATAGATGAAGCGCGTCTGATCACTTATGTCACCCTAAAGATAAAACAGACAGGTAACTTAATATATTTGACATATTCTGAGTGAAAATGCAATATACATTGAGGTGACATTTTGGATTCCTGGATGGAAAGCGAAACGTCTACACACTTGGAAACAAAGTCCAGTGGATTGTTTTTTTAACTTTTTTGGAAAGCAATTCATCCATTTAATTTGAGTGAAAATTTAATATTAATGCAAGGGCAGGGGTCAACAAAAATAACACAAATTTAAAGACATCCAATAATATTGTTGAGTTCTACAGTCCCAGGAGCCCCAATGTCTGAAATGAAAAATCCTCTACATGGGCTACAGGGTCCAGCTGAGCCTCGTTTGCCTCTTTGGTGGGACAAAAGCCGCAGCCACCACCCAAGATGTCTGCAAGCCGTTTGCATGGCTTGGTTGTACAAATGTGGCCACAGCTGAAGGGGGGGTCCATAATGCTGATGAGTGACGTCAGCAACAGCAGCGTGACAACGAGAGTTTTTTGCTTAACGAAGCTTTAGTTTGCAAAACCAAGAGATCCAGAAACTGTTTCACGGCTCTGAGCTCTACAGGACAGCAGGGACTGAGTTTTACCCAGTGACTCGGATTTTCCACACAGGGCAACACTTGTAAAGTTTTAATAGATAACCCTGATGGTAAATATGCTTAAAATAAAATGCTTAGAGTAAAATGAAACTGAAATGGAAATTTGTTGGTATTTTTTCCCTTCCTGTAAAAGTCTCCAGACTTGCTGTTATTCCCAGAGATACTTTTTTTTTTTCTTTTACTCTCTTCCCAGTTTTAGCTCCATGGGCAAGTTTACAGTAAAGTAAATACTCCCATTACCACACACACACACACACACACACACACACACACACACACCAAACCCCCAGCTTACAGGACCCATAAAACCTTTCAGCTTCACTCAGTTTTATTGATGCCTCTTCGTTACCATCAAGCCAGTGCTGAGGCCACCGGCTCTGCTAAACTCCCCCCCAGTTTACCACACAAAAAAGAATGCTAAACTTAGCCGAGCAGCTAGGCTAAAATAATCTTCAGGCAATAAGGACATGCAGGCTGGAGCTAAAGAGTTAGGCTGCTCTGTGGCGGTAAAACTTTCAAGGAACGTAAAACAATCTTTAAAATCTTCATATAATAGAAATTGAACTTTTTTTAAATCTCACAACGGAGAAATTAACTCTGCATTTAATCCATCCCCTTTAGGGAGCGGTGGGCTGCCACTGTGCAGCCCCCAGGGAGCAATCGGGGGTTAAGGGTCTTGCTCAGAGACCCAGAGTGGCAGTCGGTGGGAGTGGGTTCCGGACTTACAACCTCAGGATTCCAAGCCCTGTGCCCTAACCACTAGGCCGCCAATATAAGTAATTTATCATTTTTTTTAAGTAACAATGCTAGAGTGAGAAATCCCTGCCATTTGTCTTACTAACACCAATAATTAGATTACAGACAGCAAAAAACTCTGTCAGCTTTTGTTCATTAGTATTAATATGGTGCAGCTGTTTTATTTTTTTGCCATTATTTTGGTTTCTTTATGCTTTTTGCGCCTTTGCTGTAATTAGGTCTTGATTGGGTCAAAGTGAATCAAACTATTATTCTCAGATTAATATTAACATGCGTAAACAAGAGTAGAACAGGAGCTAATTTTTTTTCACAAGAGCAGAAGCCCTATGAATCAAACTGCAATCATCTGAACTTTTACAGGGTTATTTTACGCACCTCTCCCGTATCGTAGATCCAAACTCTACCCTCTGAGTCGCCCACGGCCACCTCCTTCCCTCCTGACGACCAACGGACCCGGTTCAGAGCAGAGGCTCCCTCAATAGTCACGCTGGCAGTTGGAACCTAGAAGGTAAAAAAAATAAAATAAATACATTTTGAAGACTTATTAAATTGTCCATAACTTCCATTTTCCATCAGAGCTATATTATACTTCAATTTGTGCAGGTAAAAAAACTTCACAACAAGGAGGTGTCCATCAGAAGACACTGATCACACCTGTCTTGTTTTAAGAAGCTCTTACACAGTTCTTTGTTTGAGTAGAAACATACAGTATCTTGATATCTTAACATCCCTAAGATGTGCTTCTATTTTGTATAGTGTGAGTGTATTGGGATGAATGGTGTAAGAGGTACTGGGTAGTGTTGCACAAGCAAAAACTAACATTTTGTTGTGACATAAGTTTGTCTTTTTTCCTTGGCCCATGCTAAGTGGTATTTGAGCATCTTGGAAGCAAAAAATACAGGTTACGATAAAAAAGTTGCTGAAATTATCAGAAAGCAGCCTTTTCAGGTAAAGAAAACTTCATCAGCGCTGACAAAGTGTCTGCATGCTGTAGCATGAGATGAGTTCGTGTCCAGACTCAACGTCCTAGAGAGGTAAGTCGTCTATAGACTTTAGAACTATGGAAAATTTTTAATTCATGAAAAATTTCTGCAGTGCTCCATGCTTCTAATGTGGAACCTGGAAAGCCCCCACACATTGAGGAAGAAGGAAAACAAGATAGAGGAAAGGAAGGGAGACTCAATGCAATAAAAGAAAAAACAAAACAAAAAAAGGATACAAGGAGGAACATTTAGAATTAATAAAGATGTGGTTTGGTTTGTGGATCTGTTGCTCTTTTTTTTTCAGCAGAGCAGTGTTTTGGCAGGGGGTGTGGCATGTTGCACTGTGGTGCTGTGGACTGAAGGGCTGGTTATACTCCCGCAGCAGTGTGTTGCAGTGAGCTTGTCGCAGGTATGACGCAGATATTTTTGATTTATGCCCAATTTTGAAGCGTAGTCTGCACTATGTTATTCCATGCCACAAAGCATGAGGGACAATCACAAAGTACTGTAGCTGTGGGTCTAGATACGGCCGAGGCGGTGAGGAAATCGGAAAACGCAGGGGGCAAGTTTTATGCGACAACGGAGGGAGATGAGGGCAAAAAAGAGCGGGGATCCAGGTGGCAAAAGGGTCCCAGCGTTCTTGTGCACCTCGTTCTTCTAGCTAGTCCATCTTCACTAGTCGTTTTTCCCCAATGGCGGTCATAAAAACAGAACAAGCCGGTAAGGTACCAAACAGGAAATATGCATCGTGGAGAGCGGATGTAGATTTAACAAATCAGAGAGCTCCTGTCTGTGGCACTGTCTGCGGTCACCTACAACTTCGGAGAGTTGCACTAGAATGTCTGTGGAAGGGGCGGGGGCATAGCTGTGTTAACTGCGACAAACACGCTGATGACCTTGTTTCTGAGCATAAACCAGCCTTAAGACACCTGCATTCCATCAGCTCATCATTCCTCTGTTTGAAAAGCATGGTTGTCTCAGCACCATGCTGCCAGTTTGTGGTGGACAATTCTGTCCTGTTTGGTCTCCTTGGGGTCCTGATTAACTCCATCTAATCAAGTGGACGAGCTCCCTGCCACCACTCCCTGCTCCAACCTTTTTATAAAAAAAACTTTTAAGACATGCTTTCATAATCTGTCTCGCTTTGAGGTCCAGCAACAGTAATCACAGATGTAACAGAAGAAACAGGAAATAAAGAAAGGATCTAAAGAAGGAAGAACAGGAATTGAGGAAAAGAGGAAGGAAAGAATGTTTTAAAATGAAAAAGTGAAAGAAGAGGGAAAAAAGAAAGAATGAAAGGACAAAAGGGGAATTATAAGAATATGTAACAATTTATCAGCCTTTTTGGTGACACATTTCTACACATAAGAAGTCCAACTGTGCTTGAACACAATATTAGCTTCCGTTTCGATTTCAACTGTGAACTCATCACTTTATCTCATTGAATCTTCAGTAAAAGACTTTTAGTAAAACTCCCATTTACTGAGTTTTTGTTAAAATCATCAGTCAGATTCTATCTGCATGGATAAAGCAACAAGATCACAAAAGAACCCAACCTGTCAATGCCAAACAAATATGAAATGTTTCCTTATTCTGGGTGATAACATGAGGCTTACTAATATTGACTTATTGATGATGGTAATACCTCAGAAGCAGTGTTATTTTAAAGTGAATACCTGAAAGGGACAAGAACATTTTATGCACGAAATGTCTTTTATTCTGAAACAGTATGCAGCAAAAAATACTTATGACAAGCCTCTTGAAGAATTACCACATTTTATTTAGTGACCCTAATTGCAACATGTCCTAATGTTTATTGAAAAATTAGAGGATTACATTATGAGATTACAGAGACAATTTACCACAAGAACAGGGTGGCTTCATTTGAAAGTACTGGAAGCAAATTTACAGCTTTTATTTAACTGGACACAGACGAGGCTTTTTATTCTGAAATAACTTCTACATGTTTGTTGGCATGAGCTGAGCTGAATCTTGATTTCTGTCTTTAGTGCTCATGTTGCACCTTTGAAAACCCAAAACCATCTGCAGCTTTTCCATAAACTGTTCCTGACATGTGGCAGGCGAGTCTGACACATGTCACCAGTGGAGACAGGGGCCTTGGCATCGCGTCTCCTCGCGCAGCTCCTGCGCATTTTAAGCAGAGCTTAACCACAGACTGACTGCCATTAGCCCACTAGCTTCCCTTCCTCTGCAGGAGCGGATTTGAACGGAGGGTTTTAAAACTGCCTGCATGCGTGCGTGTGGTGGAAATGAGAACCAGGCGCGCCACGCTGCTCTGTTAATGCTGTTATGACTCTGCGTTTTTAATATGATGGCAACAATGAAAGCCTGTTGCTATCAGACTGACTTGTGTGTGAGCGAGCGAGCTTTCCATACATCCGTTTGCGTGAGCGTTCGTCTGTGCAAATGTTTCTCATAAAGCACATTGTTAGGCGAGTTAAGCCCCCGATAATGAACTCTTCCTCTGTGTGTGAAAAGGCTGCTGTTGAGGGAACCATGGGAATATGTGCAGCAGATAGAGGAAGTGCTGCTCACACAGCGGTGGCATTAAAGATGCACAGAGATATGAGCTGAAGTGAGACGACATGAGTCTTACATGGTAGAGAAAATGAGAAAAGAGGGAGAGCTTATTATTTGATAGGAGTGAGAGCATCTGTCTCATCGCAGACTTGCATTAAGGTTGAAGTCACTGCCGTGTCCATGGAAACCAAGAGGGAAGGAAAACGGAGGATCCTTTTATCTGGACCTTTACCTGAATGATCAAAGGTTGTCTGCTGGTTTGAAAGAAAGAAAGGTTTTTCGCAGAATCATGGCTGCAGTTACGCTTTTGCTTTAGAGCAAATGTGATGAAAATAACTGTGTTATTCTCACTGGTCCACAGAGCATAGAGCTGCAGCGAGGAGACAAGCTGGAAACAAAATGCTTGCCTGTTTCTTCCAAAGAAGAAACAAAAAGTCTGTTGAAGTTCACCACCTAACACGTCCTAACGCTGTGAAAACCAGAACATGTAAACTTCTTTTATCTTAATAGCAAACCTTAGAAAAGAATGTATGCACAGCACTGAGGACATTGATTGACCACTTGTGGTTAAAATATTAACAACAAAAACATTTAAAGTCACCTTTTATTACAGACTATTTTGTAACAAAACATTTTAGGAAAATTTAACCTTTACAGAGCATCCTTATTCAGTACCGGAAAATCTCAGCGTTGGAGAAGGATCAAATGATTTCCCATCCTGCCATTAATACTTAGTAAAGCGCTCTTTTGGAAACGGATCAACACTTCTTCTACAACTTATCCTAAGGTTGAAGCAAACAAATCTTCCTTCTAGAACAAACTCTCTAAACCATCCAAACAAGATTTACAGGTATTACAACGATGTCATGATTGAGTTCACTCATCATAAGCATCATACCCACTGTACTTAACAGTAACAGCGTGCATGGAGTGTTTTATCCCCCCCTATTACTGCTGGAGTTATGAAAATGGAATCATTCTTATTCTGAAATCGACAAACTAATTTTTCCCTCTTCAGTGAATGGAAAAAGCATTAATTGTATAAACAACTGATAGCATACGGCTAGAATCTAATGTTTGGAAAGTAATGCATTGCTAATTATAAATGCTTTAGTTACTTTTATTGTAAAGTTTCTAGTGAGGATACTTGTATTTTTTCCTGTAATACATTTTAAAAAACAATATTTCTACACATGGGATAAGAGCTTTTTTATTGGAATAATGGTATCAAATCAAAGGATTGACTTCTGTGAGTGCAGAATCTATAAAAAACATAAAAAATAAATATTTTCAATAAGAAAGGCAATGTTCAACTAGACACTGTTCCTTTCTTGATCTTCAACGTTGCACATCATTATAGTGAATTCCAACACTCAAATGGCCTTAAATGCACTCATCTCAAAATAACTGTAACACCACAGCATTTCCAAACTAAACCCTTGGCCTGAACTTTCCTTTTTTTCATTATTATTTTCATGGGACTGAGGGCTGGGGCTCTCTGCTTGCGGTCGCCGACACATCTGTGCACTCCTCTGATGGGACACAATGTGGGAGGAAGATGGTCTCTGAGGTTGTCTGAACGTTAGGCAGAGGTTGTAGAAATGTTAGCGGGGTGGCTGGATGGGAGCCAGGATGAGAAGATGTCACCCCGTCAGATTTAAAGCGAGAGCTGTGGGAAACGCCTACAGGGGGATCTTGAATCGTGTGTGTTTGTGTGTGAAGAGGGAGGTTTGGGTGTTTGGTTGTGCGGTTCGGGCTGAGCCCCAGCTAAAGGCCCTGAGGACACCGCAGAGGCACGCACATCAGCAGGGACCAGGATGACCCAGTAAATACACCCACTGAGAAAAAAAGCACACACCTCAGTGTCGTTGTTGAGGTTCCATAGGTCCAGGCGACCCATGCCGTCCACAGCAGCAAACATGGCGGGATGCACAGGTGACCACATGACGTCATAAACATAGTCGGCGTTGTCCTCAAAAGAGTACAGAGGCTTGTTGTGCTGAAAGAAAGCAGCAGGAATAAGAAGAAATCTGTTGATGAGTGTTTGATAGCGGGGAGTGAAACAGTACTGTACCGAAAAAAAACAACAAAACAAAAACAGAGAGACTACAGGAGATGACACATTGGAGATGGATGGAAAAAAAAGAGAAAGAGAGAAACATGCAGAGTAAAAAAGGAATGGCGAGAGGGAGTGTGTGAGCTTCAGACAGAGTGGCGCTGCCTCAGCCTTGGGGCCTGTCTGGGTGCAGAGCCTAATTAAAAAGCCTTGCACATTCACAGAGCACCATAAAAACCGCTGTGAGAGATGAAAGGCAAGCCCCCCCCCACCCGCCCTCACAAGGTGTACTGTAACCTTAACACAACAGCTGTCGGAAGGATGGAAAGAGATAGAAAATGCAACAAGGAGGAGGGATGGACAGGTCAAGAGGTGCCTCTAGAAGGATGGAGGCGTTTCAGCCGCAAAATAGGTTAATTTATCAGAAATAAGTTTGTTGATGAAACTGCATGAAAAACTGCAACAATAATCTCAGTATTCAGGTCTGCTGATATTACACTTTTAATATAAACTCAGAATGAAGTTTCACACCTGGTTTTGGTGGGAGATGTTTCACCTTTGCATGTGAAACTTGGCAGTGCCCTCTAGTGGACAAATACCACATTGCATGTCATAATATACAGACAGTGGAGGACACATCTATCCATTCCACAGAAAGTTTCTGACCTTCTACTCCACAATATTTTTGCCAATTTAATAAGCTTCTGCAGAAAATGCGATAAAAATGTGACAAAACTGAAACACTAACGACAGAATTTTATTTGGGTTTACATCAATTAGTATGAACTGAAGAAAAAAACAAGGAAAATCATGTTTCATCTCGGTCCAACTGGTATTTATTTACTGCTGAGTACAAACACAATCTACAGCACTACAAATTAATAACATCTGTCACTTCTTTAAAATCCTAAATACATATTAAATGTAATGAGGACACAATGGCATTGGGGTTTCCAGATTTAGGTCATATTAAAATTGGATATAGATGAATCTGATTCAACTGCAAAAATAATAAATCTTCAAAACACATCAAAGGAACAAAACTGTGGCAAAACCAAATTTAAAATGCCAACAGACAGTGGTGCTGAAACATGGCATTTCTCAGGCATTCAGGCACTAAATCAGCCCTTTTACAGAAATACTTTTTTCTAAAATGCGTTTGGTGTATCTAAATAGTTTTATGTTTCAGGAAATACATCCTTCTCTACAGAGCTGGATAATTAAAAGAATACATTATGCTTTGGTTTTGATAGTCATCCTGATGGACTGAAATGATCATCTGCTGTCATCCATCATAAATTATATTTGTAAGTTAAAAAATGTGGAAGAATCTGCTGGAATGTGTGCGACTGTCTGTGTAATCCCCATCTTTCAGACTGACAGTGCGGACTCCAGGGGCTTAAAAACCAAACCTGTGTTCCCGACAACAAGGGTGGGAGGGGTCCTGGAGAGGAGACAGGTTGGCTGGAGGAGTGAAATAAAAGAATGTACAGTATCTGTCTCTCTTCCTCATTCTTATCCCCCTCTTCACTCCCCTCTCCACCCATTACACTTTCTTGCTCCAATGTTTTGGAGTCAACATGTACGCACCCAGAAAGCCTACAATAAACGACCGAGTTAATGTCAAGCTTAGATTGAAATAGTTTTCCAGTCAGTCTGATGGCAGGGGAATTTGTTTCTTTTTCTCTGCATCATTTTTTTTTTGTCGATAGGTTAAAGGGTGACCGTTTATGTTCTTATCATATCAGCTTTGTTTTATTCTCCTTCTATATTCGTCATCCTAGCTCTTGTATCTGAACACATCTCACTTTTTCTAAAATCTATCTGTCACCTAATTCAGGTATAAACTGAAAATTATACGTGACTTAAAGAAATCAACAGAACTGATTCCGGTTTAAGCTATTGTTGTGGGATTTTCCCTCCTTTTCCAAAGAACGTGAGAAGTTTCAAAACTAATCTCAAAACATGGTTTAATCCAAGTGGCGCCACACAGAAAGTACCTGGTTGTCATTATCTTCCCGGTGATGGTAGGCCACGAGGCTCCATGCACGCCTGAGCTAGAAAACCGTTCCTGAACAGAGAGCTTCAGTATTACAGCGAGCTGTGTTATTACAAATAAACAAGAAGCAGCTACAAAGCAACTTTTCAGATTGTTCAAAACATTAATTTACAGTGATCAAAAAAGTAGGAAGGAAAAACTGTCACTTCAGATCAAAAGGCACTAGCATAAAATATTCAAATGATCATTTTTACTGCAGTAGTAAAATGATCCAAGATTACTTCTTCCCTATCAGTACTTTGGAGTCGCTTTCTCATGAAACCAGGATATTTCTCAGATCATTAATGTCCCTATATTTTGATTTTTTTTTTTTTTACCAGAAAAAAGATTGCCTTCAGCATCCATATAGTATGGATTGCTTATAGTGCAACTTTAGAAATGGGTCAATTATGCAATAACACTTCCTACACTAATAAACCAAATTTTTTGCACTAAAAATGTTTCCACTGTACTGCTTCATGAATATATATGCTAAAAATAATTGGAATTGGAAGGAAAATATAAGAAAATGCTTGAAATTGAAATGAACCCTCTTTTTGAAAAGAGTCAACTGTCACAACAACCATTGTCATCTCTAGCCTAATTCGTTCAGCTGATCTCCTTTACCAAGCAATGAAATAATACCAGCTGAAGTCTTTTGCAGATTACACATATAGCCATTTTTATATGATATGGAGTCATATTGATAAACCTCAGCATATGTGGAAAGCAAGGGCTTCATTTGGTTTTATTTGAACATAATCTGACTAAATTCGGGAAGGGGGGGATTGGTAACATTAGGAAGAAAATTGTACAAATAATAAACAAACAAATTTGTACTCTAAAGGTGCATTCATCCTCGGGGAGGGTGGTGGATCTACATAGTATCTCTATGCAAACGAGGTGGACAATAATTGTGAAACGCCTGACCGGTAAATCTAATTCGGTAGAAATGAGTTGTTGTCTAACAGTGGCATCGCATGGAGAGAATAAAGCGGTGAAGTTGAAAATTTTTTTCTATGAAATTATGTAGCGGCAAATAATCAGGGACTGGTTTTGTTTGTGACATTGGTTGAAGAAGTGCAGCCGAGGCAAAGAAATAAGGAATGCTATTCAGATGTTTTTAGGTGACTTTTAAAAAGGCTGTTTTAATTTAGTGTGTCAGCTTAAACTTGTATTTAAGAAATTGCGTTTAAAACTAAAAAGGGTAAATCTGTAAAAGAGGAATTAAACACCAGATCTATGTTACTGTTAAAATGTGGATTTTCTAATGTAGACCCTTATAAATTCTAAAGTATCTTCTTACTGCTGCTAATGCAGTTTAATTTTTCTATTATCTAAATTCCAACAAGATAAAAAAAAAAAAGTTGAAAAACACTGGAGTTTGTTTTCCAAGTTTGTAGACATTTTGCTTCCCATCCAGGAAGCTTTTTCAATTCAAAATGTCTGGATTAGCATTAAGCTCCAGGCTTATAGAGCAGCCACATACCACCTTAGGGGTGGTATGTGGCTGAATTTCTACTTCACTGCAGTAAAAAAAAACAAAAAAAACAGGTGTTTTGTATTGGCCTGTAGAAAAATGCACATACCAAATGGCTCACAAGAAGTGACTGTGGATGAGATTACTGCGCGTGCGCATCCCCGCAGCATTGGCATGTTGCTCCACAGGCGCAGGGGTAGGTCGGGGTTCTCTGGTAGGGCGTCAGGGCGACATGGCATTTAGAACGTCAGACAGCACTTCTGAAAAACGAGATTGGGAGATCCCAGCTCTCGCTGCAACCGTACGCTGGAATGACCCAGATGCAAAAAAGTGCAATGTTGCAAGGAGTTTTGTGATATCTGGTATTGCGTGGGTCCTCCTTGTGGCTGGCTCCAAATCCATTCGGAGTTCCCCCAACAGCTCCAAAATGGCAATGCTGGATAAACGATATGTTTTGATGATCGTTTCCTCGTTCATTCCAAAAATATTCACACGGAGTGATAAAATGCGTTCTCTGCGTCTCCTTGCTTCATTTCCATGTCTCCTTCTTGCGACAATAACCGCTGCCATGTGTGCGCAATTACGCATACAGACCATTTGCACCTTCTTTTGAAACATGTTAAATATAGAGTCAGATACCGTTAGCAAAATTGCTTTCAGGTTTGATAAATCACTTTGCGAGTGCTAAATTAATATATTTACATGTTCTCCTCCCACAAGACGCACTTTTGTGTGTAAACGCCCCATATTGCATATTCATTGCAGAAAAAGTACTAAATGGATAAGAGGCGCTATTTAGCACGTTTTAAAGACCAAATCCTTTTAGCACGCTGTTGATAGATCAGTTTGTACATTTTTTTAGCGTGCGCAGTGAAATAGCTCACGTTTTTATACACGCAAACCTTTGATAGATCCGGCTCTGAGTTTGAGTCTTATATAGACAAAGCCTTGTATCGCTTGGAAACATGCAAATGGTAACCGATGAATGGGAAACCAAATCCAGTGGATATTTTTTTGAAATTTTACGGAATGTCTTCAAACTTGGAAAACAAAGTCCAGTTTTTTCTTTTTTGATTTTGTTTTTTAACTTCGTTGGATGACTATGACCTGGATGACTGGGAATCTTCACCCCCATATCTATTATTTAAAGTGGTACACATCTTTCCTAACTCATTACATTTCTACGTCACAGCACCAAGTTCAGGTATGGCGTGGGTTTGGAAATGTAAGCATTGCACTTCAGTTTTTCATGTGAGGACTTATTTCCTATTAGTCAACATGGCTTTTATTTTAGGTACTTAGATTAATCGGTCATCTTAAATTTCCCGCCACATTCTCTCATCCTGATCGCACCAGTGCTTAAACCCATTCCCATCATCACCATATTTGGCCACGCCCCTCAGTGTCGCTTGGCAACACACTTCATGTACTTGACCTCAGACTCGACCTGAGCCTGACTAATTCACCAGCTGATATTAGTTTAAGGGCCTGAAAGCTACTGTTATGTTTCTGCAAATTGTTTTGCAGGAAGTAAAACTTAGAAATAACATTATTATACCTGTAAAAATCTGGATTTATTTTATTATTTATCCCTCCATATTAGGAAGGATTATGTTGGAAAAGTGACTGCTCTTTTAAATAAACTGAAAAATTTTTTTTACTCAGCTATTTATAGAGATCCAGAAAAAAAACACCCCTGCTTTTAATTACTGCCCAGGTTAAATGTGCATATCAAAATCCAAACTGATATAATGTTTTACGACTGCAGCTGAGACACCTTCACCCAATTAAAAGGGCACACCAGGTCAGACCTCTGCCATAATCTCATCTCCAAAGACACCTTCTGATACTCAGCTCAGACATTATCCACACTCCTCACCAATCACCTGAGCTGACAGTGATGCAGGCCTGTAATTAACTCCTTCAGGGAGCAGAAGAGGAATTATTATACTTCATCCAATCACTTAGTAGATGCTGGCTTTGGGGTCAAGAGAGCAAGAAGGTTCAAGTTATGCGCCATCATAAACTCACTCTCAGCTGTCACGACATCTTCAAACTCTGGCCCAGCTCAGAACGTTTCCACTAACCACAATATTTGCACCGCTGAGAGTAAAAACATTAGCAAGCTTCTGTACGACGGCCTTTTTAAACTGTGAGGGCAAACGTGTGAGCGAATACGAAAACAATTCAACGGCGACCTGTGTGTGTGTGAATAGCAGGAGGACTGAAGGTTGACCTCAAGGGGATTTCATCCCAGCAGAGACCGCCTCCTTAAGATATATATGCATGTGAGGCATGTGCGGTGTCTCTGTAGTCTCACACCTTCACACCTCCAGGTAAGTGCCTGCCCACACACAAACATAGGTTATGTTGGAAGGGATAGAGGCACACATTCCTGCGGTGGCCTTAAAAGGAAAGGGAATTCCCAAATCCCGAAAAAAAATAAAAATAACACACTCTGCTGATGAAAATCCGCAGAAATGTTTTAATATGTGTCGCAGGGCTTTATGGACTGGCTGCCTGCAAACATGAGCCAGAATTCATCATAATGTTTTATGGTCTGTTGCTGCCAAGTATGAAAGCTGAAAAAAAGATCCTGAGCCTGGCTGTAGGTATTATGGTGAATTCATCATGCTTTTTATCATCTTCAGGAGGCCGTTTTAAGACTTTGGATGTTTCCTTTAAGATGATTTTCTCAACTGTCTTCTTTTTGAATCTACATAAGCTTTTTTTAAGCAGTTTGATTTAGGATCTCTAGTTTAATTCCTCCTGCTGACTTCTGCAATCAAATGCTTTGCTCTTCTGTTGATGCATAAATCTGTGCAACATATAAAATCAACAGAAAACTGAGAGTTGAGCCTCTGAGGCATAAAAAATGTCTTGTCTGTGTTTTAACCAACTTTTCTCTCAGCCAGCCTTTCTCCGACAGCAGTAGTGACTGTTTGTATTTTACTGCCACCGAAATGCTGGCAAATGGAACTCATCACGTTAGTTTGAAGGGAGAGAAAATGCCCTGAGTGGACAAGGTCACTCTAAAGCGCCAAGAGGAGGAGAGCCCACCTCTTGAGTCTGTCCGACTTTGATTCTCTGAATGTGCTCGCCGGCGGCATCCTGTCAGGGGTATTTGACAAACACACAAGGAACCACAGAAGTAAACCTAGTTCTTCGTCTCCATCAGATTAAATGCTAAGAACGTAAAAAGTGACAAAGACCAAGATGCATGTTATGTATATGTACTAAAGCATGTGCAGACTCTAGCTAACCTGTACAGCCTCTTAAATCTGGTTATAATTTTAGTTTTTTTTACATGCTGAAATGTCATTGTAATGTATTCAAATTAAAAGTTGTGCCCCAACAAAGAGCACACCTGAAAAGTAACTTTTAAAAATTTATTTAACCATTATTAATCTGAAAAATCTGAAAAGCATGGTGTGCATTTGGATTCCATCCCATGTCCATTTATCCACCAAATAAAATCCTAACCAAAGCAGCTCACCTTAGTGGTCATCAGTCCACCTGTAATTACAGTATAATTACAGTTGTTTCTAAAGGCCAATTGGTTCACAAGAAGTTATGGAGAGGTGAAGAAAAAACGTTATATAGAAAACAATATCCTGAACCTTGAACATCTAAACGAGCTTTGTTTAGTTTATCTACTTAAAATACAAACTTAAACACCTGAAGTGAGAGGCTTAAAAAGAGAATATTCAGAAAAGCAGCCATGGTAGATCTGGGGAGCTGCAAGGTTCAACGTGTCTTTGGTTGCAAACATGAGAGAATGGGCACAGCTCCTTGTGATGAATTATGTTACTGTCGGGGAGCAATAACCAAAAGTGCTTTTGGGTTTTCTCCTTAACATCTTTATATAAATATGAAGACAACATTTAAGTGTTATTAAGAGAATATTTCATAAGAGAGTTTCTGGGGACAGAGTCTTGGAGAAGGACGACCTCTGAGAGGATAAATTCAGGTCATATTTATCAGTTTCTGGCTTCTGATTAATACATACACAACAACAGGTTGTACAGACCTTACTCCAACACACATACACACGGACACGCATAAACAGCAAGAAAAAGACTGATTTTCAAATAGTTGTTCATCCAATGTACTCAACTCCCTCCCCTCATTCTCTCAGGAGTCCCTCTATGTAACCTTTCAGAGGCCACAATCAACCCCCCACACATCTGTTCCCTCTGCCTTTTCCTCCCTCCTTCACACGCATACATGAACTCACACACGGTGTACCTTGGTGCTCCAGAGCTTGACCGTCCAGTCGAAGGAAGATGTAATAAACAGGTGGGAGAAGTCCACTGTCCCCACTGCGCTGTGACAGCTGATGCCAGTCACCGGCCCCTGGTGGCCCTCGAACATTTCACAGATTCCCGCTTTACTGGAGGAGATTAAAAGAAACACATAATTCAAATTTTTTATTATATTTAATTGCATTTTTCCTAAACCTGGTAAAAAGGCTAGAATATTTATTTCACTATAGCTTGGTTTCCATTACAAATGTGCGAAAAAACATGTAGATATTCTGCTAATAGAACATAAATCTGTGATAAACGGATCCATGAAAACAACATGGTAGCGGCATACAGTATGTAAACGCATGAGATACACTTGCATGTTTCAGCCATGGATCTAGTGGGCGCCATCATCCTCCAGCAACATCCGTTCTTCTTCATTGTCTTTTTACAAGGCATTAAGGTCTGGTTGCAGATCACGTGACTCGTGAGATGCGAAAAAAAGTGTTTCCATTGCCGTTTTGCAAAATGTAAGAATTTCAACATGGCTAAAAAAATACTTCATAGAAGTATAAAAACATATTTTTCAAAATTACGCAGTTACCATTTAAAGAATTTATTTTCTTAATCATAATTTGCACAACTTGATGGTTAATGGAAAAGAAGCTACTGATGGTTTATTTCTGAGTGAGTAATATAGGCATAAAACAGCAACAGAAAAAGATGCAAAAAGTTTCTCTTTCTGCTGATTCATACATTTTTTTCAAAAAACAGATCAAATATACCTTCCTAGAAAAATGTTTAGCTAAACCACTTTGTTTCCTTTATTTTGAGGCTACCTTAAACTGTGCATGTGTTTTTCACTAAAATGGCATGACCTCCTGACACCAACAACCAACATAAACCACAATAGCCTTAAGGAGTAATAATTCTTTGCATAAATATTTTGACTTGTTGTAAAAAGGGTTCATTTTTAGACCACATGATTACAGAGCATTAGTTGTAAAGGCTCAAACATACTTGGGTGTATTGACCAAAAAACGTGGTCTACACTTTGGGTATTTTTGACTTCACAGTAAAGCATAGCATGATCCTCCTGCCCATTAGGGACACACTGTTAAAACTGATCTCTGCGAGAACTTGTAGAACATATATCTGCTTTAAATGTTTCTGCTATGTTTACTAAAAAATTAAACCTTCACCTTTTGGCAGCATTTAAATAACTTCCTACACTATGAATGCCTCCACCTGACTTAAACTTCCCGCTCCTTACTGACACTAAAATAAGCTAACAAAGATCCTTTTTCCCGTTTCCTCCACACTGAAGAGTGTGATTTGCACAAATTACTAACACTTTTTTTGCAGTGCGTTTACTGATCAGGAAAGAAGATGGGATTTTTGAGTTTATAAATGGCAAAAATCCACCAACTTCAATCAGTGATTTATCTGTTGATGCCTTATCATCACATATAGTTACAGGTAAATTAAGCACAGGTTTGCACAAAGATGCAAGGCGTTTTCCCCACCTTCCATGTCTGGATGCAGTGTACACGGTGCCCTCTTCGCTCCCCACCACATAGTTGTTGACATCTCCCGTGGGGAAAGCCATACCAGTCACAGCAACAGGCTTAGATTTATTGTACACAAGCTCCATGGTCTCCTAGACAAAGGAGTATCATTATTTTTGTTAATTTGCACTAATAAAGACTTCTAAGGCATCTATCATACAGAAATCCAAGAGAACTTTTCTTACAAACAGCCTTTTCTACAAACGTCTGAACATTTAACTCTCCTAGCAGGTTGGGGGGAACTCATCAAAACCGATGGTCTGATGAGGGACAATTTTTCATTACCTGAGGCTGAGAAAGCATATCCAGACTCCACGAACACAACCTCCCATCTGTCGACACGCTGATCAGGTTGTTGGCGTTCTGGGTGCCGACCACGTTCACACAGTAGACGGGGTGCTGCCATCAAACACACCCCATAACACGCAGTCACGAAACAGAAAGGGAAAATAATATGTTTGCAGTGCAACTTATCAGACAGAAAATATGCTTTAATAAAAAGACACATTAGATAACATTCTTAAAAAAATAAAAAATTTTTTACCTGAGAAATCTGTTTTGAATAGACAATTCCTGAATACAAAAAATGTTTGGAACATTGATCTTCTATAGTTTTAAGCATTGGCTTTAGTAATTTTAAAAGTGTTTATAATCGAATCACGTGACATAATGAGCTGCTTTAAGGAATAAAAGCACAGAAGGCTGACAGGCAGCTGCATGTCAGAGTGCAGTGGTGCTTTTCAAGCCCTTTACGCTTGGAACATGTGCTGCTGTTCAAATCCACAAGTGTGTGAAGCCATTATATCATTACTGGGCAGTAATTGATTTGTCTGCTGGGCTGCACAAAGGGTCCATTCAGCAATCAGCACCATGCTAGTAAGCTAGACTTCAGACTACACTTAACGGCAAAAGACTAGGGCTGCGGTCTCCTCAAACCTACAGTGTGGATGGTACGTAGCGATATACGGGTATATATGGCATCGGTAACTAAGATTAGACAAGGACATGAGCTTGAAGATGTTACTTATATACATGCATTGATGATCTGCCAAAGTTTAGGGAGTTCACTACAGGTTAACTGAGTAATCCTTTCAATTTGTTTTCTTCTTATCACGTCACAGTCTCCCTAAAATGCAAAACATGACATTTAGAAAATGTAACATTCTGCTATAAAAAAAAAAAAAATGGGTTTAGGTTTCAAAACATCTAGTTTTCTTGGGTTTCCAGTAGGTTTAGGAAATGTTGTTTATGTAAATGATTTGTGTGGTTATGTCTCTCAAATGATTAAAAAATGTAAAACAGAATTTTCTTAATTATCATGTATTTTTTTGTTTTTTGTTCGCTTTGTAAAATGAAATGAGAGAGAATTTCATTCCAAAACGGTTGGCTTTGTTGTTGTTTTTTTTTACTCTAACCAATATTATTATTAATATTTAAAAATGCCTGTTTCATTTCTTAACATAGATGTTGTCTTTAACAGAACATTGTAGATTTCTTCAACAAATTAAAGCTGAATAAGAGAAATTCTGGTTGCATGATGTCCTTGTGCCAAGTGGTTAGGCTAAACTCAGTTCAGATTTTATTTATTTAAAATTTTTCTTTTATTTTCTTATTTCAATTTTTTTCCTAGTATATTTTCTAAGCTGAGCTTTTATTGATACAATTCCTATAGGCCAATACTTTACAGACAATAGCAAGAGTCTGCAAACTGCAGCCCTGGAACTGCCCGTGTCTCTATTAAACCTCTACAATGGCTCTTAATAAAGGTCTAAATGATATAAAGAACCAATTTCTGTAGTTCTTAGAAGCATTTTTAAACAATATGAAACACATTTTTATTTTACATCAAATTGGCATCAAATAAAAAAAAAAAAATCAATGCTTCATCTTTATGAAACATTTTATTTTTTTCCTAATTTTACAACAGAAAATTACAAGTTAGACTTGGTTTGTTCAAAATGGCAACATATTTCTTACCCCTGATATTTATAAAATAATAATGTATTTTATTATATGGTTATATAATGCACCTTTAACAATTTTTTACATAGCCAGACTCGGGGCAAAATGGCTCCTTTGCTTTTTAAAAGGAGGAATGCACCTGGTTATACCCAGGTTATATACTGCATGCTCTTCCTAGGAGTATGGTAAGAAAAGGAGGGGAACTCTACGGTTTAACCTTTCCAACTAATGGCCCAGTAGAAACCGGCATAATTTTAGCATAGACGCTCAATCTAACTGGGTTGTGATGTGCTGTATTAAGACTTTGTTTTCTAACAAAAAAAATAAATAAATATCATTAAAGGGGAACTGTTCCTTAATAACTTTTCTTTTCAGTGTGATAACTGGTAGGAAAGTTTGGTATTACTTACTTAATGGTATGTTATGTAAAAAGGGCCTTACAGTGTGTGCTGCAGCAGATAGAGGTGTCCTCTGGACAGGGGTCCGTCGGTGACTGCGGTTGTCCCACAGAACGATCTGCCCTGAGTAAGTCCCTCCAACCACCAAGTTGGGATGAAACTTGGCAAAACCAACAGATACCACCGGAGACTGAGGACAGAGGAAAAGGATCCATGAGAGCTTGCTTTTTTTTGAGAATGGGATATGCTAGATAATAGAGAAAATAATGAATGTTTAAACCTTATGGATTGGGAAAATTATGAGACGAGACATCAGTTGGTGAGAAAAGATTGAGATATGAATTGAAAGCGGTTATGCTCCACTGGGTGGGAGTTAAAACCAGTCATTGGGACAACGAGATGGGTGGCAGACGTGGGGAAGCAGACAGAAACGGAGATGATGAGCTTGGCCGCTGAGAGGGTCCTCCAAAGAGAGGAGAGAGGGGTGAAGGGGTGGAGAAAAGACAAAGAAGGGAATTGTCCCCCCCCGTTCCCCCCGCCGTTTCACATTACAGCATCAAAACTCCAGCAGCCA